ATGACATGGGGAAATGCTATATACACATCATAAAGCAAATTCATAAAAATATTAGCATAATTATTTTCTCTGGTAATAGATTTAAAAAATAATTCAATTATTTTAAGTATTTTCATACATTGAAAAATTTTGGTTAGAATGGAAAACCAATTTTCTCTGCAAACTTGCACTCAGATCACAATTAAAAAGTAAAAAGAAATCTATAGATTTCATATTTAGGAGAAAATACACGAACTTTTTAGCATGAACATTCCTTAACAGAACTTCAGAAGATTTAAAGCTCAGTGATCAAATTGTGAAGAGATATAACTGTTTCCTGTTATTCTTTAACGTGAGTGAGGGATCACCTATAAGACTTTAATTAGACCTTCCACAACTCACTCTATTTTTTTCCTTCCTATATATCTTAGCAGTCTGGGTTACTACTTTTGCAAACATCAAGATATTCAGATCTCACACTTTAAAATAAAAGGATTTTCTTCATTTCCCAGATTACCTACTTTTAACGAGTTACTATTAGGATTAAAGTGGAAAGCAGAGGTGGGAGAACAAAACCTGGGGATTGGGGGGGGAATTTTCTCTTTTGTCCTGTGTGCATTACTTTTAACGTAACTCAATCAATCCCAGTCTATTATTTCTTTTTGAGGTTTAGCAATTAGCAAGGAATCTAAAAGTGTATGACGTGGTTTTAAAGAGTTAAGCCCATTTTGATTCATACCAAAATAGCCTAGGCTCTGGAATCAGACAGGTTTGGGCCTAAGCTTCAGCTCCAATATTTAGTGGGTTAGGGATTTTCAGTGGCTGCTGTTCAGAGGAACACCAGGCCTTTTAATCTTAGTCTCTTGTAGCCTGGAGGTTAAACTGAAATCTGCTGCCCTGAAATCAGTATCATAGCAACATGTAAGCCTCCACTGACAAAAGGGTGAAATTTCTCATGATATGCATTGGCGGGGACTGAACCTATGTTTCCCTCATGGAAGGCTAGAATTCCAAACATGAACCACCAATGCCCCCTAACTTATATCTAAGAGTCTATTAGTCTAGAAATAGTATTTTGGCTTTTTAAAATATATACATATCACTTTTTTATTATAAATTCTGGTAATGGAAAATGTGACCATGAAAAGCAAAAAAAGGATTTGAAACTCCATAGACTTTGCTGTGATTTAAAACATGACTATTATAAAATCTGTGCACATATGAGCATATATAGTTATAAAGTTGTAGAGTTATAAAGTACTTAAAATTTCTCTATTCTAAATCCTTTGGTTTCATTTTATTTTTTAAAAATATACGAAACTATTGCTAGTATATTTTTGGTAAATTTCTTGTCTTACTTTCTTTTCTACTATACCATACTGTCAAATTAAAACTTACTTGGCCATTACTTTTATTTCTTGATCAAACTGTTGTTTCAGTTCTTCAGTACTAATGTCAACCATCTGAAAAAAAGTAAAATACAATAACACACCATCTATGTCTCCTAAAGTTAGAAGTAAGCACATCAATAGGTGGGCCAATACTCTCTTTAAAATGTTGTTGTTATGTACGTGCTATTGGGTCAATGGCAACTCATACAATCCTATAAACCACAGATCTGAATCTTTCCCTATACTGTGCCATCCGCATGACATCTGACATATTGAAGTCCACAGTCACAGTCACTGTTGTCAATCTATATTGTTGTAGGTCTTCCGTCCTCTGACTCTCCACCTTTCCCAGCCTGAAGTCTTTTTCCAAAGACTGGATCCTCCTGGCAATATGCCTAAAGTATGTGAGATGAAGTTTTACTATCCTTGCCTCTAAATAGAAAGGCATTGTTCTTCTCATTTTATAGAACTGAGACCTAGAAAGATTTGCTCAAGGTTCCACATCTAGTTAGTGGAAGGAAAGAACAACATAAACCTGAGTTATTGGGGGAACAAAGAGAGAAAAAAAATGAGATTTCACTGCATTAACATTTTTTTTTGAGGGGGGGCGAATACATTTTGGAGAAGCATAAGCAGAAGAATCGATTCCTTTGATTTGCAGTTCTGGAGAAGAGCTTTGAACATACCATGGACTGCCAAGGGAACAAGTCAGTCCTAATGAGGGTGAAACCAAGCTGCTCCTTGGAGGCAAGGATTTTAAGACTCCATCTCATAGACTTTGGTCAGGTAGCCAGAAGGGGCCAGTCTTTGGAGAAGAAGATCATGCTTGGAAGGGTCGAGGGACAGCAAGGAAGACCCTGATGACACAGATTGACACACAGTTGGGTAATGGGGATATGTTCGTTGGAGACATTTAGACTAGCTCAGGATAGAGCAGGGTTCAGAGCTATTGTGCATGGCATTGTTATAAGTCACGAGTGATCTGACAGCACTTAACAATAATATATGCAAATCTGAAAAGAAATTTCAAAGTATCTACAGCATGTATACAAAGGTGACCATTATACAAATATTTATTATATTTATGTTTTTAGAATGCAAGAATAGATTTTTATTGTTAATTGATTTCAAATAGAGTTTGACCCTTTGTGATAGAAAACTGCCTTATAGATTTCCCTGCTTGGGTTTGGTTTCCTGGCCCATCTTTATGGACTCATAGTGACCTGGTGTGATAGGAGAACTTCCCCTTATGGCTTCCTGCTTTCGGTTAGCAGCTGAGCACTGGCCCACTGCACCATCTGTCATAGTTTCCTTCAACAGATTTAGAAGAAACAAAAGAAAGTGGAACAATGTAACAGAAATAGACACAAATCACACAAACAAGAATATTCTCCTTTGCCCTCTTCACATGTTGTTTGTTGTTGTTATGTGCCGTCGAGTC